GGCCCCGCACCCCTAACCTCAACCCCAACCCGCTCATCAACGTGCGCGACCGGCTCTTCCACCTGCTCTTCTTCAAAATGGCTGTGACCTACTCGCGGCTCTTCCCACCCGCCTTCCGCCGTCTCTTCGAGTTCTTCGTGTTGCTCAAGGTGACCGCGGCCCCGACCACCGACCCTTGACCTCAGCGGCCGGACGCTCCCCCTCTGGCCCGCGACCTCTGACCCCGACCCCGCCCAGGACAGCGAACCCCTCCCACCCGGAGGTCTAGACCCGGCGTGATCTCTTGGAGATTCACCCCTTAAGCGCTGCACCCCAGCCCCCGCCCCCATATATGTGACTTCCCCCTCGGAAGGCACGAACCTCACCCCTGAGGTGGCCGGTGATCCCGACTCCAGGAACTCCCACTCAGCTCTCTCTTTCTGCTTCCTCTTTTCTTGGGGCTCTCCCCGTCCTTGGGACCTTCCACCAGCCCCCACCCCAGCGCTCCCTCCTCTGAGCCTCATGGGGGAATGTGACCTAACTCAGGTCACCTCACTAGGGTTAGTGGCAAAGTCACAGCCAGCGCTACTACCCAGAGCAAGAACCCGTACTTGAGCCTCCTTCCCATCCTCCCTCGGGTGGCAGAGTTTTCAGCCCAGAGTGCCACTCAGGAAGGACTGGTGTTGGCCTGGGTCCCTCCAAGAATAGGGACTCATTCAGGTGTGGGCCCAGAAAGGAGCTGGCGGGGCTCCAGGGTTCTGGGTTCCTGAGCAGAGGGGTGGTCCCAGCTGCCACCTGTCAGGTCAGAAGGAAGGGTTTAGAAACAGCTTTTAGGTTCCTATCAGAGTCCCACCAGGGAGGGCCTGGGGTGCTGACATCGCCCAGCTGCTCGGGTCCCTCATCTGCAGGGAGGGGGCCGATGCTGGCGGAGGAGGTGCTTGGGGTGACGGCCAGCCCCAGGGCGTCGAGAGCGGGTTGCAGGTCAGCCACTTGACCAACTTCCTGCCTCCGCTGTGGGTCCCCAGACTTCACGACTTGCCAGCACCAGCTCAGCGGTCCCCAGACGCCAAGTTGGGGAGAGGGGCCGGGGTGCAGGCTGGCTGGTGGGAGACTGGTCTGGCCTTCCATGCTGTCTCCCCAGCCCCCTCCTCCCCTGGCAGAGCCCCAAGTCTCTTCTGGTCTATGTCTGTACTGAGACCTGGGGGCCCAGGGGCTCCGACATCTGTCTGTTGAGCTCTCAGCGATGCCCTCGTCTTCATCCCTCTGTGGCACTTTTGGTGCTCAGGCAGCTGGGGAGTCAGGTGGGTGCCTGCAGCTTCAGGTGTGGCTGAATCCAGGCGCGCATCCGTGTGCTCAGAGGCAGGGCCTTGTCCCACCCTGTGGTCGGGCCAGGATGCATGTGGGTGCCTTACCGACGTGGTCTTGGCCCAGTCTGCAAGGCAGACTCCAGAGGGAAGGCCAGGTGGCCCACGGCTGGCGTTGGCACCACCGGCCGGGGCTCCAGGCAGGGCATGGAAGGGGTGGGGTGCTGGTGGCCCCCATGGGCAGCTCGCCACCATCCTGCATCAATGTCCACAACAGAGCATGGGGCTGGTGTCTCTATGATCCTGGCTTTTTAAGCTGTGGTTTGGACCACACAGGGAGCTAGTCCTGGAGAGCAGGCATTTGGTGTGGGAGCTGGAGTGGCCGGAGGCCGTGCTGGCCTAGCTGAGGGGTCACTCCGGTCTCTGGCTGAGCAGCCACTGGGGTCACCGGCTGCCTGACACCCACCTTTTCTGGGAAAGCGGATGCCACATTGGGTCAGCTGGGCCCTTTCTTCAAGGAGGAGGGGAGTAGGTAGGACTCGCAGGGGTGATGCTCTGGACCCAATGTCTAGTCTAGGCGGGCAACACTCAGCCAACAGGGTCCCCACAAAAAGTAAGACCCCCAGCGGTTGAGGTGGGCCCTTGAGGAGGACGGTGTCCTTATTACATAGACCCAGGTAAAGGGTCTCATAGACATACTTTCAGCCAAATGGAAGGGGCTGGGTCACGATGTAGAGCAAGGTCCCTGTGGGCACTTCTAACATCAGGCTGGCGGTTCTCTGTGGGGACCATCCTGGGCACTGGGGGCTGGCCCTGCACCCTTGATGCCAGGAGCACTCCCGGCGAGACAATCACAGATGTCCACAGACCTGGCCCAGTGTTCCCTGGGAACAGAACCACTCAGGTCAGACCTTTGCTGTCCCACTTTTACTGATGGGAAAACCACGGCTCAGAGGCGGGGCGCGCAGGCCCAGCGTGCTCATGCTGGCTGCGTCTCTGCAGTTCCAGCTGGCCCTGCCAGCGAGGGAGGGGCGCAGAGGGTGCCGGGCAGGCGAGGGAGGCTGTTTTTAGCCAGTGAGGTCAGGGGTCCTCTGAGGACAAGGCAGAGTATGAGGTGGCTGGACTGGCCCGTTGGGGACAGCAGGTGGTGCGGGGCGGCAGCACCTGGGCTGGACCTCCCAGGATGGGAGCAGTCAATTGGTGTAGCCGTGTGCTCTGCAGGACCCCTGTCAGGTGGCCTCTCCCACGGTGGGGGTTTCATATGTGCCCCAGAGGGTCTCCCGGATCAGCCGGGACAGGACCAGGCCCTTGCACCGGGATGCCCCCAGGGCTGCTGGGAGGGGCCCACATGGGCTCAGGAGCCCCCCGGCAGCTCAGGCCTCCCCGACCGCCCCGCCCCAGGCGCTGTTCGTGCTCTTCGTCCTCGCCTACATCCACGTGGTCTTCTCCCGCTCGCCCATCAACTGCCTGGAGCACGTGCGCGACCACTGGCCGCGGGAGGGCGTGCTGCGCGTGGAGGTGCAGCGGAACTCCAGCCGCGCGCCCGTCTTCCTGCAGTTCTGCGCTGCCGGCCGCAGCAGCTTCCCTGGCCTGGCCGCAGCCCCCCGCGGCCTGGAGCTGGAGGAAGAAGAGGAGGAGGAAGAGCTGACCATGGAGATGCTGGGGAACCGCTCCATCCAGGTGAGCTGGCTGAGCGGACTGTCACCTGCAGGGGCTTGGCCTCGCTCTGGGTGCTGATGGGCCCCGGGAGGCTCGGCTGGGGTGGATGAGGGGCCCACAGGGAGGGCACGCTGGTGCAGTCAGAGGCGGGGTCCTGTCGGCAGGGGCCGGTGTGGACGGTGACCCCCACCTGAAGACAGCCAGGAGCCTGGTGTTGGTGGGATGTGGCAGGTGGAGGCTGCTCGGGCACAGTGGCCAGGGAGGAGCGCGTGTCCTCTCAGGCAGTGGGACGGGCATGGGCCAAAGCCCCCAGTGCTGGACACCCCACCTCCCACTGCCCTGCAGTTTGAGCTGGACATCGAGCCCAAGGTGTTCAAGCCGCCAGGGGGCCCCGAGCCCTTGAACGACAGCCAGGAGTTCCCCTTCCCCGAGACGCCCTCGAAAGGTGCGTGCTGCCAAGACGCCAGACGGGGTCCCCTGGGGAGCCGCCACCCCACTGTCAGGAGCACATGGGGCTAAGGGAGACGGGTTTGGGCCCAGGTTTTCCTGCCTGGTCCCGCTCTGTGCCCTGGGGCCCTCCGAAGGTGGGCAGGCGGCTCGGCAGGGTCCCTCCGACTGACAGGTCATGCCCGCCCCGCCCACAGTGTGGCCGCAAGATGAGTACATCGTGGAGTACTCGCTGGAGTACGGCTTCTTGCGCCTGTCGCAGGCCACACGGCAGCGGCTCAGCATCCCGGTCATGGTGGTCACCCTGGGTGAGTCACCTGGGAGGGGGCCTGAGCAGGCGTGACCCAGGAGCACTTGAAACCGAGGTCTGGGGGCCGTCCCTGCTCCATCCCCTGTAGATGTATGGTCCCGGCACTGCTCCGGTGGGGCGACAGGCCACCGGGGGCCTTACCAGACACACCCCCATCGCATGCCACCCACAGACCCCACGCGGGACCAGTGCTTCGGGGACCGTTTCAGCCGCCTGTTGCTAGCTGAGTTCCTGGGCTACGACGACATTCTCATGTCCAGCGTGAAGGGCCTGGCAGAGAATGAGGAGAACAAGGGTGCGTCCAGGACTGGGTCTGGGGACTGGGGCGTCCTGGGTGATAGGCGATGGTGCTCACAGCCCCCCCCGCCCCCGCCCGCCCCTCCCAGGCTTCCTGCGGAACGTGGTGTCGGGCGAGCACTACCGCTTCGTGAGCATGTGGATGGCCCGCACGTCCTACCTGGCCGCCTTCGTCATCATGGTCATCTTTGTGAGTGTGCGGGGCGGGGCGGGCAG